TGGTTGAAGCCCAAAGTCTAAAGCCAACTAATTTCCTCCCTTTTATAACATCTTTAATAATAACCAATAAGTTCATCTTTCTGTGATACATGTTCATTATCAGCAAAATATTAAACAATATTAATATTAATATTAAGCTAAATAGACAAGATCAGCATTTAGGTTTTGGCCTTGCCTGTCTGTCCAGTGAAGCAGTGTATCACAGCAAGCTCTACTGGTTATTGCGTGCAGCGTGATCCGACTTTTCAAGTGATTGCTAAGCGCCCTGATGACAGATTTTCACTGTAAGCATAACTTTCCACAGAGGGTAGGTAGGGTAACCTTTCCCTGGTGACTGTTTTGTTGATGATGGCTGACTTTCTCACTTTGTTTAACTGGGGTGGTCAAACTTAACAGTATGGTGGCACTGGCTACCCCTTACCACTCACTGGATACGTCCCTGTCAGAAACCAGCTTTCTTTGCATAAGCAATCACATCTCATCTTTTATATTCTCACATACACGTAAATTAGATATGAACAAAAAATATTCTTCAATATTACTGTCCAACTTTCATTAAATCCTTCTTTAGGCCACACTTGTGACATTTCCATATAATGTCATCAAATAGTCACATGTTGGTGGCAAATCTGATCCGAAAAGACTGTTTAGTCTAAGGTCCTTCATCACTGGAGAAAAAGAATATGTCTATTCTATGCTGCAAAATGGTTTGCCCATTGTGGTGTCAGCTGTATTGTCCTACAGTTGTGTGTCTTTTGGTGTTTTATCTGTGTTGTTCCTCCAGAGGTGAGAAGATGTTCACCCACCCTTGACCTTGACTATCTAAGCCCACAGAGCTGATCTAAGTGCATTTACATACACTTTCATTTCCTTCTCCTTTAAAGCTCGTCTCCACACTGCTCATTCAAACTGCCAGTCCAGTCTACAACAACGGAACAATGTGCTCATCATTCACCATCTCACTCTTTCTCTCAGCTCTCTGGAGTCAGGGTAAGATTACTTTACAGTCTGCTTCTGTTTGTACTATAGAGACAAATGGATCATCACTGAAAATGACTAGGTGTGCATTTTCTAAAGTTCTGTAAAATAACTCATCTGCAATACTGCCATACATTAATTAAATGTCTTCTCTCAGCTTCTCTGGGTATCATCACAGTAGATCAGTCTCCTCCGGTCATCTCCGTCCAGCCTCACGACACTGTGAAGATTCTGTGTCGAGCTTCAAAGGATATTGGCAACGACATGAGTCTATATCAATTTCAACCTGGACAGGCTCCTAAACTGCTTATTTATTATAGTACCAGCAGAGCATCGGGAGCTCCTGACAGATTCAGTGGTACACTATCAGGAGCTCTGACAACCTTCACCATCTCTGGCGTTCAGCTGGAGGATGAAGCTGAGTATCATTGTGCCCATAGTGAAGAGTATCCAGTCACACAGTGAAATAATGCTGTACAAAAACTGTGTGTTTCTCAGCTTGACTGATCACTGAGTGAGAGCCTGGCATTACGTTATTAGTCAACTGTCCTTTGTTACTCTATTTTAAAAAAGAAGTTAAGACTATATTATTTGCATAAAACTGTAAATATCAGCATTTTGTTTTTTTAGCTGAAGGTCCAAAGCCAACAAAACATAAATTCCTCTTTTAAAATATAAGCAATTAGCCTAATCATTCTTATGATCCATCCATCCATCCATCATTCTTATGATATACATCAATATTCTTCCACAAATTATTCACACCTGGTATTGCTGTTGTCACATGTAATTTGATTCTACAGCATTTTCATGAATAGTCTGATTTACATGCATTACGCGTGTTCCCAGAAAAACTTTGTTCATCTCATCTTTTCACAGTATTCACACCTACATGTGTATTATATAAAGAAAAAATACAATCTTTACCAGTTGTCATCAACTCTCATAGTGATTTTTCATTGTAATTTGAATATACGGGTGTATAAATGTATAGCCTTACTATATTAGCAAATAAAGATGCTTAGTTAGTTTTAGTACATATCCAACAAAATTAGAAACTAAAATGTCAATAAATGTACTATTAATATGTTATGTATTAAAGATAAATGAACTTCAGGGAAACAGAACCAATATTTTAAGTATTAGGACAAAGATCAAGAGACAGACCAAACACAGAGACGCCCAGGCTGGTCATTTATTGAGAGCTTGACTTCAACCAAACATAATTTCCCCTTTGTAAAAATCTTCATCATTTCCAAAGAATTCATCTTTTATGACATACATTTATATTCTTTCAGAACTTTTTCATGTGATTGTCTCATTATACTCCAATAGGCAATCAGGTACTAGAAACCAGATTCGTTTATAAAAGCAATCTCATCTTATGTTTCATATATTTTCACATACATATAGATTAGATGTCCAAAAAAAACAGTCTTTGATATTGGTGAGCAATTCTCAATTCTAGTTAGGGATCATTTCAAAATGTGATTAAACATTTCCACTACGTTTTGTTTGTATATGACATGTGAACCATAGCTGAACTGGTGATGCAGTGTATAATGAGACTTTGTTGATCAGGAACTTGGATATCAATCCTGAGAGAAACATTATTGAACTCAGGCCTTATTCTCAAAAAATTGTTCATGCATTAAACAAAAAATTCATGCATTAAATGAAGTGTACAGGGAGAAACTTTCAAACAAACCTAAAACTGAAACAAAAGCAATAAAACGCTTACTGCGGTTGCATTGCACACATTTGAGGTATTCATGTCTCCTGAAAACCTACTGCAAAATCTCCTAAAGATCCTCAGCATTGTGCTTTCATTTCATTCAAAATTTCTTAAAAGTCAGGAATGCTGTGATGATCCTGCACTGAACAGAATTCTGAAGTAGAGTCACCATCATTTAGAAGAGCACAGTATTTGTAAATAAATGTGATTTTTAAAAGTTACAATAAGAATGTAATAAAAAAAAGTAATGTACCAGCATTGTCTACGCTCACAGCATTGAGCAGAGTGCATCTGCTGAATTTATTTACATACGCTTTCATTTCCTTCTTCTTTAAAGGCTCATGATTTACCATCTCACTCTTTCTCTCAGCTCCCTGGAGTCAGGGTAAGATTACTTCAAAGTCTATTTGTAGTATAGAGACAAAAGTATTCACCTCTACTGACCAGGTGTCTATAAAATTTTATGGAGTCTATAAAATTCTGCACATAACTCGCTCTCATCCTCTTCATGTATTCATTATTCCTCTTCTGATTCTTCTCCCAGCTTCACAGGACATTTATGATGATATCGAGTTATATCAGCTTAAACCTGGATGGGCTACTAAATTTCCTCATTTTTAATAACATATTTAATTATATCCCTTTTTAATAATAACCAAGTTAATCTTCATAGCATACATGTTAATTATCAGCAAAATATTAAGCAATATTAATATTAATTTTAAGCTAAATAGACAAGATCAGCATTAAGGTTTTGGCCTTGCCTGTCTGTCCAGTAGAGCAGTTTATCACAGTGAGCTCTACTGGTTATTGAGTGCAGTGTGATCAGACTTTTCAAGTGATTGCTAAGCGCCCTGATGACAGATTTTCACTATAAGCATAACTTTCCACAGAGGGTAGGTAGGGTAGCTTTTCCCTGGTGACTGTTTTGTTGATGAAACTTTGTTTAACTGGGGTGGCCAAGCTTCACGGTATGGTGGCACTGTCTACCCCTTACCACTCACTGGATATGTCCCTGTCAGAAACCAGCTTTCTTTACATAAGCAATCACATCTCATCTTTTATATTCTCACATACACGTAAATTAGATATGAAAAAAGTGTTTAATATTATTGTACAACTTTCATTAAATCCTTCTTTAGGCCACACTTGTGGCATTTCCATATAATATCATGAAATGGTCACAAGTTGGTGGCAAATCTGACCCCATGAGACTGATTAGTCTAAGGTCCTTTATCACTGTTGAGAGAAAGTATGTCCTTTCACAAGTGCTTTCTTCTTTGCTCCAAAATATGTTGTTCCATTGTTGTGTCAGCTGTATTGTCTTACAGTTGTGTGTCCTTTGATGCTTTATCTGTGTTATTCCTTCAAAGGTGAGAACATCTTCACCCTCCCTTGACCCCAGACCCTCTGCACCTTCTTCCCTAACCTTTTGATGCCTCCCACTTCACCTAATTCCTCTTCCACTTGCTTCCTCCACTGACTCCCAGTATCTCTACTTAAACCATGTCAGACTATGTGTTCACTGGACTGGTGACAGACTGATGACCAAGCTGTGACTGTGCGTGATTCTCAGCATGTTCATGAATAAAACCTGGAATCTAAAGATTCAGTTTCCAGACCCTTCCTGCTGAATTTCTAAAACTGTGCCACTGTTAGTTTAGTTCAGCAACATTTTAAATGTGGTTAAACATCTCCACTACATTCATTTGTGCTATGTGAATCATAGCTGAACTGGCTATGTAGTGTTGGAGAGTTGCTGAATAGGAACTTATTGTGATCCTGAGAAGAACATTATTGTGGACCTTTGTTAAAATATTAGATAACAATACAATAAGCACTGAGGAATGAAGTGCACAGGAACAAACTTTCAGACAAACTTGAGACTACAACAAAAGCATATAAAGAGCTTTACTACAGCTGCAATGCATTTTAAGTTTTCAGATCTCCTGAAAAGCCAATGCAAAATATTCTGAAGACCCTCAGTATTGTGCTTCATATTTTTTTCAAAATTATCAAAAAAGCAGTGACGCTGTGATGATTCTGTACTGTACAGAATTCTGATATGGAGTCACTGAAATTCAAAAATGTTTTGAAAATGAACATGATTTTAAAGAGTTACAATAAAATAATAAAATAATATTGTCTGAACCCACAGAGCTGAGCTGAGTGCATCTGCTGAGAGTATTTACATACACTTTCATTTCCTTCTCCTTTAAAGCTCATCTCCACACTGCTCTAAACACTGAGCATTCAAACTGCCAATCCAGTCTACAACAACTGAACAATGTGCTCATCATTTACTATCTCACTCTTTCTCTCAGCTCTCTGGAGTCAGGGTAAGATTACTTTAAAGTCTGCTTTCTGTTTGTATAATAGAGCCAAAAGTAATCACACATACTGACAAGATGTGCATTCTATAATATTCTGATTATGGCTCACCTGGGTTAGCTTCATATATTCATTTATTTTATTTTTTCTCTCAGCTTCTCTGGGGATCATCACAGTAGATCAGTCTCCTCCAGTCATCTCCGTCCAGCCTCACGATACTGTGAAGATTCTTTGTCGAGCCTCACAGGATATTGGCAATGACATGGAGCTGTATCAGCTTAAACCTGGACAGGCTCCTAAACAAATAATTCATGATAGCTATGTCAGAGCGTCCGGTATACCTGACAGATTTAGTGGCACATTGACAGGAGCCCTGACAACCTTCACCATCTCTGGCGTTCAGCTGGAGGATGAAGCTGAGTATCACTGCCAGCAATCAGAGACAGTGCCGTTCACACAGTGACAAACCAGCATACAAAAACGTCTGCAGCATTTAAGGCCAGGTCTCTCATCTTATGCCTCAGTGGATCAAACCTATAACAAGTATACAAACATGTAATAGCAGATTTAACATCACAATCTTGTGGATTTCATTTCAAAGAGATATTGTCTTGTGACGCCCCATACAAGTTCATCTTATGTCACTTATTCCTGGGACTACACAGCATCTGGATTTGTAGAGATCATAAAGAGGCTGCCATAGTGGACATACAAAAGCTTGAAAGACATTAACAAACAAGGTTATGTTAAGGTAAGAAAGTATTTAAAGACAGAAAATTATGAATGGCTTATTCTTCATTGTATTTATCACCAGTTGTATACATACACCAAAAGAACAAAACAGAACTTGAAATTGTATTTATCTATTTTTCTACTTTGTCTACTACTACTCTGTCTCTCACTTAAAGGAGCATAGGAACAGTAGATATGAAGTCGTTAACAGATCAGTGAGCTGAGTGAAGAGAGGTTTTTGTACGACGGCTGTGCCTGGCTGAATCACTGTGGTACATGTTTGGTCAAGGAACAAAACTCATTGTGAAAGGTAAGTGTTTTGTTACTGATATTTGTAAAGGAATGAATAGGATTGTATTCAAATAAAAAAGTTATTAGGTAGTAAATGAAAGTTTAGCATTACTTACAATATTTAATATTTATCCTGTTTTAGTCATGTGTTTATATAGCGCTGTTTTGGAAGAAAACCTTTTATCTCCAAACTGGTAACTTTACAGAAGGAAAAAACATACTTTACTTTTAATGTGAGTCAATGGAATCAGATATTTTCCCAAGTAATTTGTGCCATTTCTTTTGGTCCATGAAATTTACATACAATGTAAAGTGTAAAAGGCATTTTCAAATTATGTCAAAAACTGAAAAACGGAAAAATGGAGATACAAGGTTTTCTTCCGACAGCAGTGATAGGTTTGTTTGTTTAAAAAAATTTGTTTGCATTTATCTGTGTTTTGTGGCATTAAGGGACTTTTTCATTAGTGTTTTATACATTTGTAAACATTATCAGAAAAGATGTCATATCAGCAAATGTTCTTTATCTAAGACGTATAATTGTATGCAAAAGTTTGGGCACCCTGGTCAAATTACATATTTTGTTGAATGCTGAATTACTGTTTATTTGCAAAATTATTTTTTTGCACAAAAAAGTTTGTGGCTTGTACAAAGCATATAGGAAAATTTAATATATTATTTTTTCAATATGGTAAACTGAGCAAATAAACAGACATTATGCACTAATATTAGCAAATGTCATATTTAAGTGTTTCTCTGTAGAGGATGTGTTAGCTTATTTTGTGTGGTGCCTGGATGTTTTCATATAACTGTAGAATAATCAGGGTGGCTGGGTTTTTGTAAAGTTTATTTGGGACACCTGGCATGAGGCATGAATGAAAAATATAAGTAGTTTAGATCTGAAGCCTGATTGTTTTTATTCATTATTGTTTTTATGTATTATTTAAAAATGTAATATTAAAAAAGAAATGTCTCACTTATTGTTAGTCACTTCATTTTGTTCAGTTTTATTCATGCATACATTTTAATTGTAT